TGTAGTCTTTCCGTCAAATTTTAATTCTATAGGACAAAGGAAAGGTACAAAATGATTGAATGATATAAAACCATTCCTTATATATATATAATAAAATACAGCCCAGCACTTTTCCAAAAAAATATCAGCCCTTGAAACAATAGAAGGGTTTTTTGAGGCCCAATTTTTAATTTTTTTTTTTTTTTACGAACGGCTTGGCAAATATCAGAGAAAGAATTGTGGAATACGTGTGCTCATTCTATACTCAATTGGACGGCCACGTAATGAGTACCTGTCATGGGCCTTAGGGGTCACTGCGTCGAACGTCATGGAGCTTGAAGGTACACACAGGGCTCTGGAAAGTGTCACAGAACACTGCAAGTGTTGGAACATAGTAATTTTGGCCGATTCATGATCTGCTCTTAAGATCCTGAATGAGAAAGAACGTTGCAATGGCTTTTTAACATCCTTAACTTCAACAGTAGTGAGATGCAGATGCATATACCAAACAAAAAAAAACAGGAACAACAGTCATTTAATTAGAGATTTAAAAATAAACTGGCTGGCTGAATAAGTGATAGAGGCAGTTGGCAGACAGCACGAAGGCCAACATTTTGCGCCATAATATAATATGCAAAACCTTAGCAGAACGGAGACTCGTTAGATACTGGGTCGCGAGCATTAAAAGTCGGGTGATCAAAGTAAAAACTGAATATTGGTCTACCTACTCCTAACAAGCTCGCTAAAAAATGGATCTGACCTTTCGGCATTCCACACCCTCCGCCAAAAAGGTAACGCAAACATGACTGCGTGCCCAAAGGGTGATGTTTATAAGGCAAAGGGATTGGAAAGTCCTTCGTACAGAAGTGTGTATATGGCACGGCCATAAAAGATGGATATTGATTGTCACCTTAGTACTAACCGTTTTTTTTTTTTTACAGCGCAAGGTCAAATACCCAACATAAAATACATTTTTTTTTATTTAGTATCGTCCGTAATAAAAGGGTTGTTGAAGAGTAAATAAATTGATTTAATCTAAATTAGTTTTTAATGACATAAAAATGGGTTTTACCATCAATAACTGTTTGAAGGACATTGTGTTACTTATTTAAAAACCATGATTTATTATTCATTCACCTGGAATTGTTTACACTTAATCTTTATTAGCTATCTTTTGCATTGGCAAATTTTAAAGAAAGATTTAATAAAATGTCCACTCTGTGTTCTACTATATATTGTGATTTATGAAGAAGAAAAAAAATTATTATAAGGGAATTTCAAGTAAAAATATAAAAACGAACTCCAAATGTCCAAAGAAAAAGAATACGTTCCATACATATAACATTTTTGAATTACTAGTAATATTTTATGTATGCATTTTTAAAGATTGAAAACATTATAGTTAGGAATACACGGACGTATCTTTTATTGTACATGAATGTAACGTCAGGTCATTTCATAAGGTTTATTATGATCTAAAAAAAAAATGACATTGTAATAAACATTTTGGGCACGAACAGCCACACAAATTTAATAAGGCCTGCTGCATATTTGATTAATTTAATGAATTGGTAGGATAATCGAAATCCTAGTTTACAAACATCTTTTTTTTCGAGTTTTCTGATAGATTCATATCTAGAAAAAATATTTATTTTTTTAAAAATCCTTGCAAATAGATTGGGCAGTTTGTTAAAAATATATATATTTGTTATTTAGCGTAGTTATTAGGAATTATATTTTGCGCGCTAGTGAACACATTATTGAACCACACTCTGAAGTATCTATAAATAGCCTGCGTCTTGTTTGACCCGTCTTGTTTGACCTTTGCTGGCGAATTATATATATATATATATATAATATATATAAGAATGATTTAGGCTGGCCGTAACGCCAAAGAAACGAAAATAATAAGATACGTTCATGGGCGCCCGCAGGTAGGGCAGGGGGGCCACTTACTCCCCCTGGATTGATTGGATAACAATTTTTTAGACAAAAGTAGACAAAAAATTTATTAAAGTAAAGAGAAAATAAAGAGAAAGTAACTAAGCTGATGTCCTGTCCGTTCGTTCACCATACAAATACGCTACAGTTAATTAAAACTATATTAAAACATTACTAAAAATAAGTTAATTAAAACTATATTATAACATTACTAAAAATTGTTTGCCCCCCCCCCTGGAAAGTTAATCGATTTTTTTGCCCCCCCCCCCTAAAAAGTTTTCTGCGGGCGCCCATGGATACATTCGAATTCTTAAAAACAATGATAGTTAATATTTTCAATTATTGTACGGAAATTGAAAAATTTTAATGCGAAAATATATCGTATAGCCGCTTTTATTTTATAGCTTAATTAGTTATATTATAAATTACCAATACATTTAAATTGACAAAAAAGGAACTATTTTGAACATTTTATCCGAATGTAAACGTTAAGACAGAAAAAGTAATTAAAATGTATGATCTAAGAATTGCATCGTAATAAAATTTATCTGGAAAACCCTTACATCTGTTATTCTTAGTGCGTATCTTAGTGCGTTGTTAATATTGTGAAATTAAAATAAAATTTAGTTCAATTAAATAATTACGCAAATGACGTCATAGCGTGATTGTCTATTTTACCAACAGCTCTAAGTTTTCTTTTTTTTTTTTTTATAACGCTGCGTGACAAAACTGATAATGCATTTCCCCCTCTTAAAAGTAAAATTATTACATATAATGATTGCTTTTTAAATGGCTAAAATTTTCTAAAACTATATATAACTTTAGCTTTCATTTTTAACATTTAATACGTTTTTACTTTCCTTCTTTAAAAAAATTTATACTTTTATGAAATTTATATTGTAGTGAAATACGTACCCTTTAAATATACTTTTAATACGCAAATGCGGTTTAATGCAATAAATGAAGCGAAACTACATATCCCAATAGCATTCAATAATGCACTTATCACTCATCCCAATAAGAACAAAGCATTTGAAATGCAAAAAATTGTTTTAGCGTAGGTAAGGGGGTTAAAATCCCGTTGATAATTTTATAAATTTCTTTAAATCTTAGTCGGGGGGGGGGGAGCAATACGATAGTTTCATTTGCCCAAGGCAGCACACGATTCGCCTCATAATAAATTTGACAAATAATTAAGATTCTTAAGTACATACAATTGGGGGTTAGCAACAAGGGTGTGTACAACTTTATGTGGCTGGCAATTTCTTTAAATCCAATGATGTGACAGATGGTTAAAATAAAATCTATATTCTCATTTCACGATTAAGAAAATCTATGATGTTAACAAAATGTCAGTACATTTACACTATTATACTAATGAATATCAAGACCCATTTAATTTACATAACCAAAAATTAATTTTCAAAATAGGAATGGGTTAAGACTTTCTTAGATGATAGATAGATAGATAGATAGATAGATATATAGATAGATATATAGATAGATAGATAGATAGATAGATAGATAGA